ATGTTCACACTCATTGGTGGTGGGGATGAAAAATGGTACAACCACTTTGAAAGACAAGTTGGCTATTTCCTATTCAAGAATTATCATAGAATTCAACAATCAGGCTCTTATGTATTTAATTAAGTGTAGGGCTAGAGGATTACTAAAGCAGTAGAGTACTATATATTCTAGTACTACACAGAGTGACTCTTACATGCTTTCAGGTGCTGGGAATGGTCACCATAAAAAAAAAATAAACTATTATCTATATAAAGCCTGAACATGGATGTTTAGAGCAGCTTTCTTCATAACTGTCAAAACTTGAAAGCAATCAAGATGCCAATCAATAAAAAAATTAAGTGCTATACATCCAGACAACAGGATATTATTCAGAACTAAAAAGAAATGAGGCATCATACCATGAAGACATTGATGGACCTTAAATGTACACTACTAAAAAAAAAATTAGAAAAGGCTATATATTATGTAGTTAGAGTAGGATATAAAAAAGGCAAAAAAATAAATAAAAAAGTAAAATGGTCAGGTTGCTAGTAGTTTTGGGACGGGAAGAAATGAACAGGTAGAAGACAAGATTTGTAAGGGGGGCAAAAAACACTCAGTATGATGTGACAATTATGTAAGTCATTATACACTTATTAAGCTCACAGAATATGTGTATTAAGATGAATTCTAATATCAACTAAGAATTTTGGGGTGGCTACGAAGTCTCAAGGCAGATTCCTCAATTTCAACAAAATATATCAGTATGAAGAAGAATGAAGATAGGGAGGAAGTTATGTGTGTGAGGCTGGGGGATATATTGGAAATCTTTGTACCTTTCTCTCAATTCTGTTGTGAACAGAACACTGATCTTTAAAACAAACAATTTTTATTTAAAAAGTTCTTCTTTACATATGTGAATTTATTAGTAGGGCTGGGTTGCAACTATTTCAGATTAATGAAGAGTTACTTATCTCCTTAAGCTTGAGGACTTCTATTATTATTATTACACGTTATCTGTGAAGTACTGCACAAAAATATGTTAAAAATGTATAAAAATATGGTTTAAAATCTTTAAAGAGGACTTACTCCCAATCCTTTTTAAACGTTTCCACGAAACTGAAATATCAAAAACACTTCCGAACAGTTTCTATGAAGCAAATATCACACTGATACCAAAAGCAGACAGAGATACCACAAAGAGAATTACAGACCGATATCCCTGATGAACACAGATGCAAAGATCCTCAACAAACTACTAGCAAACAGAATCCAACTACTCATCAAAAAGATCATACACCATGACCAAGTAGGATTCATCCCAGGGATGCAAGGATGGTTTAACATTCAGAAATCAATCAACATAATCCATCATATCAACAAAAGAAAAGATAAAAAGCATATGATCATATCAATAGATGCAGAGAAAGCATTTGACAAGATCCAGCACCCCTTTATGATGAAAACCCTAGCCAAAATGGGTATAGAGGGGACTTTCCTCAACATAGTTAAAGCCATCTACCACAAGCCTACAGCAAGCATCATCCTCAATGGGGAAAAACTGAGAGCCTTCCCTCTAAGATCAGGGACGAGACAAGGATGCCCACTATCTCCACTGCTGTTCAATATAGTACTGGAAGTACTTGCAATAGCGATTAGGCAAGAAAAAGATATTAAGGGCATTCAGGTAGGAAAGGAAGAAATCACGCTCTCACTATTCTCAGATGATATGATACTATACTTAGAGAACCCAATAACCTCCACCAAAAAACTCCTAGAAACAATAGACTTGTATAGTAAAGTTGCAGGCTATAAAATCAATACCCAAAAGTTCATGGCTTTCCTATATGCAAACAGTGAGAGAGAAGAAAGCTACATGAAAAAAACAATCCCGTTCACAATTGTTCCCCAGAAAATCAAGTACCTAGGAATCAGCTTAACTAAGGAAGTAAAGGACCTGCACAAAGAAAACTACAAAACGCTACTTCAGGAAATAAAAGAGGACATGAGGAAATGGAAAGATATACCCTGCTCATGGGTTGGGAGACTTAACATTGTCAAAATGGCAACACTATGGAAAGCATTGTATAAATTCGATGCAATCCCTATAAGGATACCCATGACATTCTTCAAAGAAATGGAGCAAACACTCCTGAAATTCATATGGAACAATAAGCCCCCAAGAATAGCTAAAGCATTTCTTGGGAAAAAGAAAATGGGAGGAATCAACCTCCCGAACTTCAAACTGTACTACAAAGCAGTAATAATTAAAACAGCATGGTACTGGAACAAAGGCAGAACTGCAGACCAATGGAACAGGGTTGAATACACTGACATCTCCCCTCAATCATATGATCATCTAATCTTTGATAAAGGTGCAAGTAATGTGAAGCGGAGTAAGGAAAGTCTCTTTAACAAATTGTGCTGGCATCATTGGACGGCTACATGCAAAAAAGTGGGCTCAGAACTCTGCCTAACACCATGTACAAAAGTAAGATAAAAATGGATTGAAGACCTCAACATCAGACCAGAAACCATAAGGTACATTGAAGACAAAATTGGCAAAACCCTCCATGACATTGAAGCTAATGGTTTCTTCAAAGATGCCATGCCACTGGCCGAGCAAGTGAAAACAGAGATAGATAAATGGGACTATCTTAAACTAAGAAGCTTCTGCACCTCCAAAGAAACAGTGACCAAAATACAAAGACAGTCTACAGAATGGGAAAGGATATTCACCGAATACACATCTGACAAGGGGTTGATATCAAGGATATACAAAATACTGGTTGAACTCCACAAGAAGAAAACATCCAACCCCATCAAAAAATGGGGCAATGAAATGAACAGAAACTTTCTCAAAGAAGAAATCCGAATGGCAAAAAAGCACATGAGAAAATGGTCTACATCATTAATTATCAGGGAGATGCAGATCAAAACCACAATGAGATACCATCTCACACCTCAGAGACTGGCCCACATCCAAAAGAACAAAAGCAACCAATGCTGGCACGGATGTGGCGAGAAAGGGACACTCTTTCACTGTTGGTGGGAATGTCGACTGGTTCAGCCTTTCTGGAAAACAGTATGGACGATTCTCAAAAAATTAGAAATTGAGCTCCCATTTGACCCAGCAATACCACTCCTGGGAATATATCCCAGAGAGGCAAAAATGTATAGTCGAAGAGATATCTGCACTTGTTTGTTCATTGCAGCACTCTTTACAATGGCAAGAAACTGGAAGAAACCTGAGTGCCCAAGAACAGATGACTGGTTAAAGAAACTTTGGTACATCTACACAATGGAGTACTATGTACCTGTTAGAAAAGATGAAGTCATGAAATTTATATACAAGTGGTACAACATGGAAAGTATCATGCTAAGCGAAATGAGTCAGAAAGAGAGGGATAGACATAGAAATATTGCATTCATCTGGGGAATATAAAGAAACAAAATATGAGATTAATACCCAAGAATAGCTGAGATCAACACCAGGAGGATTACTCCATAGCTTAGCAGCCAGCCGGGCATTCTAGCGTAAAGGGCAGCTCAGATAGAGAAGGGAGCACCAAATAAAGGGTGTTTGGAGGATCCTCCCAGGAGGGGAGATGCATGTTGAAAGTAGACTATGGACTGAACATATTTGCCACTCAAAGCCTCTTTCGCAGACCACAACACCCAAAAGGAGAGAGAGAACACAGGGGATTGCCCTGCCACAGAGGCGGGGGGGGATGAGGGGGGGGGATAGAGGTGGGAGGGATATTATCCATGGTGGTGGAAAATAGGCACTGATGGAGGGATGGGTATTTGATCATTGTATAATCGAAACCCAAGCACAAAAAATTGTAAATCTACTATTGTACCTCATGGTTTTTCACTAAAAATAAAAAAAAATATATGGTTTAAGGGACTGATGATATGGTTTAAGAAGTAATCACATGCCCAGCATACTTGAGGCCCTGGAATTGATCCCTGGCACTGAGATACTATTCATGGCCAGGAAAACATTACCAGGGTGGCCTCGAGACCCCCAGCTATCAGGGTGTGATTCTCAATCCTTCAGGCCATGTAACATACTGCCAAATCTTGCATCTTGAAACAGCTTAAATAATCACAAGCAATAATTCCAGGCACATCCCCTGCTCTCAGGTCCCAGGACTTCTGGGTGTATCCTTTATAAAGAAATGTGTTTTAACATAAGAATGATACTATATGATAGGAAAAAGCATTGATTCTAGTCTGATAAATCTCAGATTCAAATCTTGGATTATTTATTTGTTAACTATATAAATTACCATACCAGTTAGCTAGTTGTTTTGCCTGAAGAGTAATCTCATTATCTACTTCATAAGGTTAAGTAAATAAAAATTATGTAAAACATTCATAATCAAAGTCTGGTCACAGTCCTTCCGTTGTTCATCGATTTGCTTGAGCGGGCCCAGTAACATCTCCATCATGAGACTTGTTGTTACTGTGTTTGGCATATCAAATACGTCACGGGTAGCTTGCCAGGCTCTGCCGTACAGGCGAGATACTCTCGGTAGCTTGCCGGGCTCTCCGAGAGGGGCGGAGGAATCGAACTCGGGTCAGCCATGTTGGCCACTTGTAGGGCAAACGCCCTACCACTGTGCTATCGCTCCAACCCAACATTCATAATAGTGCCTGGAATATATGGTAGGTATTCAATAAAAGGTAAGCATCATTAGAATATTCTAATGTTTGCAACAAATTTAAATTCTCTAGACAGAAGGGCATCTTTAAGTACAACTAAGTTATAAAATGAAAATTAACAAAAAGGGAGATTATCTGTCTATTTATCTATCTCTCTATCTATAGAAATTATACTTCTTCATAACTACCCTTGGTATGTGGGACTATTTACATGTTCCTCCAAGTATGATTCATCAGCTCAATAATGTACTAAGTATCCATAATACACAAAATAGCAAAACCAAGCAAATTCCTCCCCTCACCCCAGGATTACAATTAAAAGCATTGTTTTATTAACCAATGTTCCTCACATCACTTAGCTGCTTGGTGCAGAGTGGAGTGGCTGCACTGCTATTCTGCTTATTTCCTGCCTTTACTGCTGCATCTCTTCTTGCTTGCTCTAGCAGAACTCTTGCTCTTTCTTTAAGCTCTTCTTGTCTGGATAACATTCGATGCTTAAAGCAAAGATACAGAAGAAAAAAGAAAAGTATTTAATCTATATTTGTAAACTAATGTTTACAATCTGTCAAAATAATACAGTTCAGGAATACCATTGGCTTTCTGAGATTATCTACACAATATATTGACAGGAAAGAAATGCAATGCACTGACATACAAGATACATACTTTTGTACTGCATAAAATTAACTGTAAGTGAATTTAAATTCATTTTTATTAGAATATGTTCTCATAGGCGAGGAGGCCTGTATGTTTATGCATATACATAAAAATATATTCTTTAATTTGTGAATTACAGTATAAAAAGTTCAAGATTTATTTAGTTTCATTATTATTTTAGGGGAGGGAAGTGGCCACACCTAGTGGTGCTTAGGGGTCACTTTTGGATGTGCTCAGGGACTCATGTGGTACAGGGGGTTGAACCTGGGTCCCCCCATAAGTAAACATGCACTAAGTCCTTTGAGCTATCTCTTTAGCCCCCTAACTAATTTTTATAGGCCAACAAAATTGGTAATATTAAATATAAGTGGAAGTAGCACTGTAGCACTGTCCTCCTGTTGTTCATCGATTTGCTTGAGTGGGCACCGGTAACGTCTCCGATGTGAGATGTGTTGTTATAGTTTGTGGCATATCGAATACGTTATGGGTAGTCTGTCAGGCTTTGTTGTGCAGGCAGGATACTCTCGGAAGCTTGCTGAATGTGGAAGTAATCTTTCAAACTTTAAATAACATTTATAGAAATCTCAAAGTTATTTTATATTTTCTTCTGCTTTTTTAAAAAGGTTGTTTTCTCCAAAACTTACTTTCCCAAATTCATGGGTTAATTTGCAAACTTAAAATATATCTTTGGAGATACATAATGACCCCAAAAAGAAGTAAGATCAATGGTAGCATTAACCCAAAGCACAAAGACCCAAATGTTTGTAGTTGAAATGCCCTTTCTTTATGCAAGTAAGACATCCTGATTTTGGATGGACATGATTATTATTATTATTATTTTGATGCTTAATTTCTTTTATATTATTTTCATTGAATAATTCTGGTTCAATTTAAGTATCACTTATGGTCAAGGAAGAGGAAATAAATAGTATATTATAAAAATCATTTTAGAAGTCATTTTTAGGTATCTTTGCAATCTACATTTTAACACAAGTTTTAAACTTTGTTAAGAATTATTCTTTCTTTGAGAGGTGCTTTGGGGACAACTCTGTAGTGCTGGGGTGATCATGCAATACCAGGAATAAAACCCAGAGCTCCTGCATGCAACCCTGACTCTAAACCTGTAAGGATTTTTTCTTCAAGAGTACAAAACTCAATAGTCTTTAGTATATTCACAAAGTTGTGAGCAGTCAACATTGTATTTGTAGAAAATTTTCATCACCCAAGGTTTTAAGAGGATTAAGCTAAAAACCTTACTAGATAATACTGAAAAGTATAAGTGATAATGACAGATCTTTAGTAAATGTTGATAGGATATTACAGAATTAATTGATCATTGAATCTGAAATGTAACATATCAACACTTCTGAAAAAAAGGCAAAATTAATTATACGAACACTGAATTTGCAGTCAAACATTAAGGCTTATTAATCCTCTCACTAACTGTACTTTGAACAGGTCACTTAAGAACTGTATTTATTCCATTACATGATATTTAATAACTTAGGAGCAAGACAAACCTGGATTCAGATAGTAGTTCTATTACTTAATTGTGGAAAGTTATTCAACTTCTCTAATCTGTTTCCCATTTCAAAAGTGGGAGTTAACAGATCATTTGTGTTTGTTGTTGGTTTTTCAGCCACATCCAATGATACTCAGAGCTTTATTCTGGCTCTGTGCTCAAGGGTTACTCCTGGTTCTTGGGGGGAACGTAGGAGGTGTCAGAGATAGGGTCCATTGCATGCAAGGCCTCTAAACCTGTACTATTTCTCTGGCCTGAAAATAGACCAATTATTATAAAGAAATTCGAAAGATTCTATGAATTTATTAGCAGCGAATTACTAAAAAAATGTTCACTATTATTTTATTTACATATATTTCTAGATTATTTTCCCCATATGTGATTATAGGCCTCCAGACTTCTCCCTACCATTCCCTTTCCCCCCAGTACTAGGAATCAAACCCAGGATCTTATACATGCAAGGCAAAGGCTCTATTGCTACACTCTAGTCATAGCCCCATTTCCTCTTCAAAATAAGGGAGATCATCTTAATTCCTCTAGCTATAAAGGTGAGAAAGAGAGTAGAGTAGGGCTCTTGCCAGGCATATGACACCCCTTGAACACTGCCAGGAGTGACCCTGAGAATAGAGCTAGGAGTAAGTGTGCCCCAAAATTCAAACAAATAAATAATAAGATTTCACTAGCTCTAAATTCTGTAATCCCTTTGAGGGATTCTAATTAACTAATTAAAATTAAACTTCCTTGGTCTTAACACGTAAACATTTTTTCTCCTAAGTATGATTCATATTCATTACAGAAATTTTAGAACACACATTGGAGTGAAAAAGAAAAACGTAGCAATTCTGGCACTCAGATAACTAGAGGTTAAGGTTTTGTTTTATGTAATAATTTGTTGTAGTTTCTCATGTTCTTAAAACATTTTTTGAGATGTGTTCAAGAAATCTTTCATTTTATTATTTATTTAAGCAACATTATGGAAAATGTTTTTTTCCATAATTACACCATATTTGATGGGGTTCAGAAAGTAGGCAACAAGTCATAGAGGGAAATATACATATATGCCTCTCGGAGAGAGCCTGGCAAGCCCGTGGCGTATTTGATATGCCAAAAAGAGTAACAATAATAGGTGTCATTCCCCTGACCCTGAAAGAGCCTCTAATACGGGAGCGTTGGGAAAGATGTGCAAGGAGAGGCTGCTAAAATCTCAGGGCTGGGACGAATGGAGATGTTACTGGTGCCCGCTTGAGTAAATCGATAAACAACTGGATGACAGTGATACGGCAATTTAAGTAGCATTGCATTATAACTCTTCCTAAGTTTTATGAGTGTATCACTAAAAATCAATGTGTACAAATAATTTGTAAAAATCAGCAGTCTTAAATTTTGTCCTTCATCAAATGTTGGTCCCTTTTGTCTAATTAACACACTCCTTTTTAAAACTGTTTCAAAATATGATTTTAAATTGTCCACCTACCATTGTAGTAGTAAGGACACACTATACCTGTCTTGTACTACTGTACAGTTAGGCTATCTGTTCACTTTTAGTATTTCAATATGTAAATTCATATAAACAATTCTAATTACCTCCTTAGGAAAGATTCTTAGAGGTAAAATCTAAAAGACAAACATTTGTTTTTTGGAGTTAAATATTTTCTTTTCTTTTGGTTTTGGGCCACACCTGGTGGTGTTCAGGGCTTACTCCGGTTCTACATTCAGGGTTCACTCCTGGTGTGCTGGACCATAGGGTGCTGGGCACTGAACCTGGGTCAACTGCATGCAAGGCAAATGCCCTACCCACTGTACTATCACTCCGGCTCCCTAAAAGGGAACTTTATAACCTGTGATACAGGTTATGAAGAGAGTCAGCAATATATGGATGTACGCATGTGCTTGATATTTCTGGCAGAATCACTGCAATTCCTGGGTGTTTGGTGTTTAAATTAATCATTTGAGTATTCTTTTGAGAAAGTAATTTAACTCTAGGTTACTGTGTAAATAACTTTTGTTAGGACTTTCAGCTAAAGTAAAAAAAGTGATATTAGAAGAAAAATTCAGATTACAATTATAGAGAAATGCTTTACTCAAAAAATCCTTGAAGTCTCAGAATCTTTATAAACTTCAAAATTATTAAAAATATAAAAACGTTTTGTAAACATATGTTGATATTTTCATTTTGGAAATTAAGATGGAGAACTGGAAATATTGATTCCTTTAAATATTGCTTTAATAAACACATTAGATATTAACATGTTCTAATGAAAATTGCTACTTAAGAACGTAAATATGTGAAACTGCCATTGTTTTATATATTTTGGAAGTTTCTTTTACATTGGCCTTATTACAAACAGCTATATTTTGGGGCTGAGAAGGAAGGCCTCATAACAGGGTCCTGGAAACATGATGCTGCTTAGGGGATACCAGCTTACACCCAGAAGTGCTTGTGAAACTGCTCATGAGACCATATGGTGCAGGGGACTGAACTCAGAACCTCACCCATAGGAGACAAGCACTTTACCACTTAGCTATACAACCCTGGCTAGAAGGTGGTGGGATTACTATACTATTTTCTGTATTCAGTTTGTCACAGTACCATAAAGTAGCTTTCAGAAAACACCACTGAACATTTATTAGAGGATGAAAGCAAAAAGGTAAATAATTACAGTTTTAAGAAAATAGTTTCAACTTTGGGAGACTGACTGAAGAGTTCTGAAGAGCCTCGAACTCACTCCCCCTCTTGTCCCCACCCCAGATGATGCTTCGTGCAACTGGGGAGATGGTTCACAGGACTAGAGTGCATGCTCTGTATGTGGGAGTTCTGGGTTCAGTCCCCAGTACTGATGCTGCAATGGCGACCGGTGCACCACCAGAGTGGCCTCTAGCACTAAGCTGTTGCTAGTTTCTACTACAGATGAGACTCAAACAAATATAACAAACCAATAACAAAAAGAATCACTGCTACAACACCTTGCTTTAGACAGCACAAAAGACAACACCAAAGAAAAGTAGGCATACAAGACAGACTACATCTAAACAGCACAGAGGGTAGGGTGTTTGCCTTGCATGTGGCCTACCCGGGTTCTATTCCTCTGCCCCTCTCGAAGAGCCCAGCAAGCTACCAAGAGTATCTCACCCGCGCACAGCAAAGCCTGGCAAGTTCCCCGTGATGTATTCGATATGCCAAAAACAGTAACAAGTCTCACAATTTGTTGTGAGATGTTACTGGTGCCTGCTCAAGCAAATCGATGAACAACAGGAGGATAGTGCTACAGAGCTACGTCTAAATCAGATGTGACTCTGAAGATTCGAATTCTAAATTTTAATTCTAACTTGATAACATGGCAACCAATTAACTTTGCCTAAAATATCCTTTATATGTGTGCTATAGGATTAAAAATACATTCATAAGCCTAAAATAACTCAATGTTATTTTTAGTGATAAAAAATTCTATATAAGAAAATCATGAAGTTTAATTATTGGCAGTATTTTTCTTTGTTGCATATAAAATAATGGTATGTCATTCATTTGACAGTACTGTAGATTCAATAAGTAGAGTATGAAAAAAAAAGGTGAAATCTGTTCCACATTTCCCTCATGGAGAGAAATTTGGATGTTACTGGGACTTTTAAGCATGATGTAATAAAGTTCTTGAAAAATTATTTTAAATGGAAAATATTAAAGATGGCATTATCCATTTTTAGAATGAGATTACTACATGGAATACTAAAATATCTTCAACTTATTTTTATGGTAACTGTTTTTATTGGCCAATATAGATTTGGAAAATTGACATTCTTTATTCTCCAATCTTGAAGTTGGGATTAATTTAAGAATTAAAATATTGCAATATAAACTTTAGGCACAGGTATTCTGCTTTTTCTGCAATTGGAAATTACACTACATCTTTAATCATTTGAAGCATTTTAAATTGTTCTACAAATACAAAAAAAACAAAAATGTAGAATAACTATTAAATATAAGTACTTATTATTGTTTACTTACCTGAACTGTCTTTACAGAATAATCTGCATGATTGAGCGTGGATTTATCAGTATCGGGATCAGATTCCGTCTGCTTCAGGGAAGTATATTTATTCTTTCCAAGGTCTACATCTTTATTATATGAGTATCCAAGCTTAGAAGATGGAGATAAAGTTGTTTTTTTGACAGGTGATTCAGGATCTGATCCACATTCCAAAGGTCGGAAATGGTCTAATTTTCCTTGCTCTAAGTTACTACTGATATCTAGAGTCTGAAGCTTTTGCTCGTCTGTCTCCTCACAAACTGAGGGTGGAGAAACATCCTTCTTCTTGTCACTGACATATAAGTCACTTAATTCTAAAGTCTCAGCTTTTAGTAGTCTTTTCTTGCCTAACAAAACTTGTACATGAGTTGACTCTGCACTGTAACATATTCCAGGGTCATCGGATCCTGAAGTCCTTCCCGAGCTCTGCTGGGACTTTTGGGGCTCCACTGTGTCACTTTTAGTCCTGCGACAGTAAGGGGAGGCTGTGCTTGGACTAAGGTGATCATCAGGGGTCTGATGTTCGCTTTCTGACTCTCCGACCCCACTATCATTAACAAACACAGAGTCATCCTGGGATAAGAAGTCTACTGCTCCACTGGTAGGCGGATGCAGTTCAGGCTCCCGCTTCAGGTCACTAAGTTCCGCATAGAATTTTTCCTGATCAACAGAGCTGTTTGTGTCTGTTTCATAGTTTCCAACTTTGTATGTGCTTTTACTGCTGTTTTCTTCTATCTGAACAACATTTAGTTCTTGGCCACTGAAATGTGCCCTTATTTGGTACAGATAGGTCATCACCGTCAATTTGTCAGGGATTGCTAATAAAACCATATCCGAAGGTTCCAATAATCGGGAAATTCCTATGCTGGCAAATCCATCGTATGCCTTTGAGAAAAGGAAAAAAACAAAAGATAGTTTGAACAGCCAGACAATGTGCACATTTAAAAAATGGCAAATTTTTCCTTATTTCCTTTAGCTGTTAAAAGGAATCATTATGTTACATTATGCTAGGCAAGCAGATCAAAATTCCAAGTCAGCAATTTGCAAATATAGGGTAGGCAAGAGAATAATTATTCTCTTTAAATAGTAACAATTGGAATTTTCTTTTCTGATAAAAGAAATAAGTAAAAATGACTTAAACAAACAAAACCCTCAGCATCAATTTTGAAGAAAATAGAGCAAAGCAATGGATTTCTGTATATTTGCTAGCATTCTTATTCCTACCAACTTCTCTTTTCTATGGTCATGTACTCTCAGTGATAAAGGTGACTGAAAAGTACGGCTAGATATTTCAAAAGAATAAAAATTCAATTACTGGGTATAAAATACAAGTAAGAGCTATTTAAGTCTAGCACATAGAAACATTTTTAAAATGATCAATTAAAGTTTATTTTCATAATGAGATTATGAAAATATTTACTTCATCTATTTTGAAAAGAATGAAATATTTTGAGTTGTACAGCTTAGATGAGAATGTAAGGTTGCATTGTATTATTTTTGTTAGTCTTTAAATGACGGTGGCACATCAGGTTTTTCTAGTTTTGAAGAATCAAAGCTGTTTCTCAATTTACAATTAATTATTACTATCCTGAACTAACTCTTGAAAACAGCATTATGTTGCTAGGAAGTGCTAAAAATATGGTTAAGGGTTTAAATATACTCTTGGAAAAATTAGAGACCCTCTTGATATAGTTTCAGACTGGGATATAGAATGTCAAATATTTGTAGGATCAGAGTTCTTTTTTTTTTTTTAAAGAAAGGCTAGGAAATTCTGAAATAACTCAGAAGGGATCAGTCTTTTACATGTCAAAGTATATTTATTTTCTACTGCTTGCCTCATTCTTTCTGTAATTTGATAAATGTGGAATAAGAAAGAAAATGAAAAATAAATTGCAATGTTAAAACCTCTTCAACTTTAATAGCACTATGCTTCATAATATAGGTATCTCAAAAAATATTTACTAGAGAGAAGAGCCCACTTGGTGTGCATGCAGGGACCTGTTTGTTACTTTACAAGTTTTAGGAAAATTAAAGTTATTTTCCTCAAGTGTCTTGACAACTTGATTGACAGACATCAACTGCAGACCATCAGGAAATTGCAGACCACATTTTTAAATATTTACCAATTATCTATACACTGTCATATTGATTAAGATCAAATACCACAGGTAAATTACCTGTTTTATTCAGCACTTTATCATAGACCTGGGGAAATGATTAGCTTCCTTGTGGGGAATCTCCTACTGGTGTTTTGCTTCATGTAGCAATTCATTTTATGTACACTAATTGCACTAAAAGAAAAAGAAACATCTAAAACAAACTAAATTTGTCGTAACATCAACATTAGAAAAGAATTTTCTCATTGGTTATTTTCTTCTGCTATGGTTAGCCACTGACTACTAACATTTTAGATACTTCTGTGTAGAAAAAAATGAGGACTCTTTCAAAGAAAATCTGTCTTATTTATTCCTGGATATTACTTAATTGATAAACAGAAGTCAGTGTCGGGGGTTATGCTGTATATCTGCATGGGACTTAGAACAGAAACATAATTTAATATGCAGCTTTAAGTCCAGTTAAGGACAGATGAGGTAAACTGGAAAAACTAAAGTTGGATATAAATCTGCAGACAGCAACTGATACTTGCTAAGAAGCTGCAGAGTGCTGTAAAAACGATAAAATGAATATTTATTGAATTGTGCAATATATAGGATAATCGAAATAAAAATTCTCTCAAATAGTCATGAAAAATCTCACTGGAAAATCTGCTTTGCAAGACCTAACTAAAAATATTTTAGTGATATATTCTTCGAATTTTTTTGCAATAACATGTAAATCTAAAGAAGGTTCATATTATTAAATTCCTAAAAAATAATATAATTGTGGGAATTTAAGTCTTGATGAGTTTCCAAATGCACTAAAAACAAAAACAAAACAAAAAAAACCAAAAACAGGTAAAATAAATGGTATTTTCCTTTCAAAATTTCAAACAGTAACTTGCAAACTTCATAAAAAAATGATTTTACAATGCTATTATATTTGCATTTAGTTTTGTATTGTAATCCAAACACAAAAACACATGATAAATACCATCAACATACAGGTGAAATTTAAGTGATAAAGGTAATTTCATTTTGATAGACAAAGTATCTCTCAAATTATACAAAATATAATTCATGAGAATGATATAGTTTGTAGCATGTCCACCATAAAGGTATATTCGTTATCTGGCAAGTTTAAAATGGATTTCTCTAAGGACAGCATCATGTTCTTGCAAAGAAAAACATTTTTTTGATTGCATTTTGTTTTAGAGAGCAGTTAAAATATAGAAAGTTAGCTGGGCTTAAATTCTCATTACTAACATAACTGATTAAATTTCTTTTTATAGAAAAAACATTTTTAGTAAAGTAAAATAGTTGAAAAATATGCAGGTGGAGAGATGTGGGGAGAGGGAAGAGGTAGAGAGAGAGAAATCCCCTTATAGAAATACTTTTTGAAAAATCACAGGTGATTTCTGAGACACTATCAATAGTACTGAGACCTGAGGAGCCGGGGGAGCAGAGAGAGGAAGAGACCGTGGGATAGTGGTGGAGAGACTGGTGTGATAGTTCAGCAACTATAAAACAACTTCAAACGTATTATAAACTATGATACCCCAATAAAAAAATTAAACAAAAAATTATGAAAGATTTTAATGATCTAATTTAAAGTAGATTTTAAACCAGAGATCAGTGGATTTCATTCGTCAGTCTGCAGACCAGTGCTCAGGTAGGTACAAGTCTGCAGGTATGAAAAGCTTGAAAATGACTGGGGTAGGTCAGAGATTATTCATTATTTTGTTCCATGAAGGCTTTTGTCGAAGAAACATTTCTTAGAATGTTTTGCACATATAAAATATATAAGATTACAAAAGGAACCAAATATACTGCAAAATAAAACTATAAAAAATAATAGAACTGATTTTGGGAAAGAGTAATATTTTTAATTATAAATTATCCTAATATAATCTGAAGAAGTGATGAGTTAAAGTCTGCAGATATTTTCAACTATAACATGATATTGGAGTGTGTAAAGGTGACAAAGTCTCAGCCATGTTTATTATCATTGTGATTTGTTGCCGAATTTCATTGTTACTATTATTTTAAAATATGGAATGCTTTATGAATTTGCATGTTATCCTTGTATAGAGATCATGCTAATCCCTGTACTGTTCCAATTTTAACCTATGTGCTGCTGAATTATGTGCACCTAAATTCACAATTCTTTCAAACTTAAAAATTGTTGAGTTTCAGTTAATTATGAAATTAAATTATTTTCCCTGGCAATGTTCTGGAATCCTTCGAATTCTTTCCATAGGTTTCAGGTTAATAACTTAGTTATAAGGTAATATGTTCATTAACTTTTAGGATGAAGTATACATTTAGAACAAAACAAAAGAAACCTGAGTATTTACACTCTGTATTGAGTTAGGTATTTCTTACGCTTCCTTTTTACACCGTGGTTCACATTAAAAAAAGTGTAATATTGTGCTACATATAGGGGTATGTAGTTATGTTTGCCTGTCGCCATAGTCAGCTTGCTCAGGGAGCTTCAACAACAAAGCCTTAAAGAAGTATCATGAAAGCTTAGGTCGGAAGGACTCTATTATATGTAGCCAATATTGATCCTTTCAGCCTTCATGATTGCAAGAAAAAAATAAAAGATCCACCTAGTTTTCCAGAAATGAATAAAAAGAACTAATGTTCACCTTCTTACTTCTAGGAACCTATGGATTCTTTCATGTACAGCCATAAGGAATTTGCCCTCATGCCCTCCCAAAAGATTTTCCTAATTATGGCACAACTGATTCGGGTGCACTTTTTAAAGCTAAATCCTGAATAAAAGCACCATGTCTTAAGAGAAATTTAGCAGTTAATTATACATATTGTAACCTGATGCCAGTCTGGCCCTGTGATCTGGCTCTGTGATACTTAAAGGTCCTGACAAACTAGAGTAAACCATGCATCCTATTTGAAGTGCAGGGAGCAGCAGAATACCTTCTGTGAGCTGCAGTCATGACCTCACAGAATAACCTCACTTTCCCCAAATTAATAAAAGGCCTGCAGAGAAGCCAACACTGGAACTATGTATTTTTTCTCTTGGCAATTCTTACCTTTTTGTTGTTTTCTTTAATATCTTGAGGATTCAGAGACTTGTAGTCACTGAGGGAGAAAATGACACAGTATGTAAAAGGGTATTTGATAAAAATAGCTTTTTTTTTAAATTGAATGTAAAAATTTTACTTTCAATAATACCCAAGAGCAACTTCACTGCAATTCAAGCAACAAAAGTGTAAAAATTTAGAAAACACATAATTCCGTGTTTCCCTGTCAGAAAGTGGTCATCTAAAAGAGATGTTAAGGTTGGGAATCAGGGACTAGTCTCAATAATCAAACACATCATATGTTAATCCATGCTGTCAATGTACAAAGAACAACAGGCTTGGGCAGGGGATGTGGCTCAGCTGTAGAACCCATGCCTGGCATGTGTGTCTCTGTATTGGAGCCCTGATACCACAGAACAAACAAGAAAGAGCTATAGGCTTATTTAGCGCTTATCATTTAACACTAATCCAATTTTCATAATAATTTGAAGTTAATTCCTTTGATAAGGGAAAAGACATGTTTTAAAGATCATTTTTTTAAGTATCAGAAGGAAGTATTTATCTTTTCTGCATGTATTTTCCCTCTTAAAAAACAAAAAGTTTAGGGAGTGAAAAAAAAAAGAAACAATGTCCAAATACTTTAGAACATGTGTTAAAAAATCATTAGTAGTACTACTCAGGGCCCAGGGAAACAAAGGAAAGGGCTGGAATACATGCCTGGCCAAATCAGGACTAGAGTTTGACCCTTGCTATCAATCCCACCCCACCCTATCCAAACTGCCATATGTAGCCCTCATGTACCCTGAAAACCACTGTCTAAGGCTCTCAGATTCCCCAGCACCACTGGCCCCTATCCTCAAGCCCAAGCAATGAACTGCCAGGCCTGTATACCTAGTTCCCAGGCCCTCTGAGCACATGAATTCCAAGGAGTCAACCCCTCAAAAAATATCATTTGCAAAATATTCATAGGGAATGTAAAATGTTTCTACTTACATCAAATCTGGTCTAAAGTGGTGTAAGATTGCACAAAAAGATAAACCGTTTCTCCACGATGTAGTAAAATTAGTGATTTTCACTCCCCGATAGTTTTTTGTAACTTCTTTGCACCACACAAGCAATGACTGACTAGCATTTGGCTTTCGCCCCAAAACAGGACTTGGTATAGGACTTGGCTAGAAAAAAGGAAAAGAGAAAAACATTAAAACAATTTAATGGAAGATGAAAATTAACATTAATTGACCTAACTAGATCTTTTGAATCCTTTGATGTCAGTTTATGTCCTTCAAAACTGTCAATTCAAGACAACTCTTACCTCCAAGAAAGAGACATGAATCTTAGAGCTATTATCTTCAGTTTTAGCCTATGGCATTTGCCTGACAAGGTTGTAGATATGCAAGATTTTCAACTTATACATAAAAGTAGGTGAAGTGTTATACTGATGAAGACATTAAAGTATTTAATACTTAAGGCTAAATAACTGTAACTCTCACACCCTGAAAAAAAATTTCAAAATGCAATTATGTACAAATACAGTTCTTTTTTGACCAGATTAAAAATAATGTACTTTGAAGTCTTACTGCAGCGCAAATTGTTAGTAGTGAAGGATTCAAAATCAGAGTTTTAAACATAGTACTCAAATATGCATTTTAGATAGCATAATGACAATTACATTCAACCATACATTTTAACATACTTTAGTTTACTAAGAAAGACCAATGATGCCCCCACTTGACAAAAGCATGTTAGTACCAAGCAATTAAAATCATTAAGTTCACAGAATTATGACTCATGCATTCATTGCTCCTGTGGGAAGGCTATCAGAACACAGAGATAATTTATTACTTTTTAAATGAAATGTTAGAGTAACTTATTATGTAAAAGCCATGAATTTATTAATAAAGTATTCCTTAACTTATCACCTACAAGGTTATACAAGGTTAGTGTTGAAAAACTCATGAGTCATAAAAATAAATAAATTTGGTTAATTCTATTTATTATTAAAATGTAGGAAAAAGGAAATTTTCAATATAATAATCTACTTTACAATAAATAACTTTTAACTATCTAAAATTTCTTAAAACTGAACTATTAAATTTCTCTTAACCTAAATGGTAACTTTCCAATCCTTCTAGTGACTTAATTTGAAAGTAGAATAGAGTTGTCTAAGGATGAGACAATTATATAAGAAAGCTTTTCATAAGAAAGCTGAGAACAAACACTTTTTCTTAGATTTTCTATATATAAAGGATTCTCTCTCTTCCCACCCTCCCTCCCTCCTTCTGTTTTTGGGCCATACCTGTTGGTTCTTAGGGTTTACTCTTAGCGCTCAAGGGGTCATATATGGTGCGAGGAATATAAGTGGACTTGGCTGTGTACAAGGCAAGTAGCTTAACCCTGTGCTATCTCTTCAGTTTTTTTTTTTCTCTTTTTGGGTCACACCTAACAATGCACAGGGGTTACTCTTGGCTCTGCACTCAGGAATCACTCCTGGCGGTGCTCAGGGGACCATAGGGGATGCTGGGAATCCAACCTAGGTTGGCCACATGCAAGGCAAACAACCTACCTGCTGTGCTATTGTCCAGCTCACGCTATCTCTCCAGTTTCTAAAAGATTTATTAAAATGTTTTCTAGAAAAAATTACATATCGAGACATTGATTTATTCCAAGCATGGGTTGTATATGTATCAGCCAGATAATCTACAAGCTAGCACTGTATTTATTCATCATAATCAATGCAGTGTACATGATGTACAAATGTCCTTTTCACCATGTTACATCATGAATGGCTTTCTGTACTTAAAATTAAGAAAAAAAACATACCATGCAATTATGACTATGAAGTATATTCTGCTTCGAAGGCTTAATATGAAAAGACTCTAAGAACTAAGCTAACTTTTCGGTTTACCCAATTAAAATAAAAGCTGTGTATTAAAACACCTTACAGGGATGCTAACTGTGCTGCCAAGAAAAAGAAGTCATATATAATTGAAGAAACTTTGATGAAATTATATGCCCTATAAATGGCCATGTTGGTTGCAGAGAAAAAACAAAATTGAATTAGAGCCACTATTCAGTGAATCACCCACTTCAGAATTGCTGACCTTTCATCCAATATTTCACAGGTGATCATAAAGGAATAAGTAGTTAAATCACTCCCTACCTGATATAACTAGGTAAAACTGCCTGCCTTTGGAATAGATGTATTTTAATTTTGTAGCAGATGTGGAGGTTACTTGATTTCTCTATGTCTATTTCCTTATCTATAAAATGGATATTGTAATGGTACAAATATCATAGGATTGTGTAGGTATAATATACAACAATATACAACATACAAACAGTTGGTTACTGTTGTTACCATTCCCTTGATCCCTCAGAACCATAATGATTTTTACGCTGTTCTTTTGATACTCCCGGCATGATCCCACCTTAAAACCTTTAACCAGACTGCTCCATTTGCCTGGATATGCTCCTCTTGGATAACTGCACTGTAAGCATCTCTGTGAGGTCTATTCTGACCAAACAACAGTGTAGCCCATCTTCATGGCCCAACCACAGCCTGGTACTTCTTACTCCCCTTACCTCATTATATCTTTCCTATGGTACTTATTCCTTATTCTCTTAAAGTTCATGTACACACACACACACACACACACACACACACACACACACACACGGCTATTACCAAAATATGTTTACTGCCTAATAATCATCTGTTTCAATTAGTAAAAGGGATATCTATGATGACAGATTTTAGTGTGTTTTATTAACTTATTCCAAATGTCCAGAATAGCTTTGAATATATACCAGGCACTTAGTAAATGTTAACTGCATAGTTACTATCAATGTATTATCAGCTCTCAAGTTCCTATTTTTTAGGAAATGTCCTATATTGTCCTTACATGTCCTTGAAATCCTTATTCTAAGGCCTTGAAATCTTTATGACATGACTGTTTTCTTTTTTTTCTTTTGAAAACAAAGCCTTAACTATAAGATAATCTTGATACCACTCCTTGTGCAAAATGGAGTTCTTGTGATTCCTGATAATATATCTATTTTTATGTGTCTGGTGAAAAAAATTAGTTCTGAAATGACTTTGTAATTACTGTATTCCAAAAAAATGAAGTCACCAAATTTTGACTACTAAGGATAGACTCAAGCTTTCAAGTTCTGGAATAAGTCTTTTAAAGTCCTTCCATATTTTTCCACTGACTAGAAGCATAAAATTCTAACAGACTAGGAAATTAAAGCACAGATGTTAGATTTTTTATGCACTGTGAGCAGATATTTTCTTTTATTTTTTGCTTTTGGTCCACACCCAGGGGTGCTCGGGGTGACTCCTGACTCTACACTCAGGAATCACTCCTGGTAGGTTCAGGGGACCATATGGGATGCCAGGGATCAAACACCGGTTGGCCGTAAGCAAGGTAAGCACCTTACCTGGGTCCGCTGCAAGCAAGGCAAGCACAATCCTGCTCTACTATCTTTCTGGCCCTAGTAAGACATTTTTAAAAAGCTGTTGTAACTATAACATTACGCAAAGTTCCTTTTCAATTATGTGATCTCCCAGTACCTCTCTCAATCAAGGCACTGTGTGGACGAAACTGCATCAATCTAAGAATAGCTAACTTGAATAAGATGCCAATAATCATGATGATGGAGCCAATTTGAAGTAGTGACAGTAAAGAGGAAACAGAACTTGAGGTTGCTATATTACTTAACAGTTTCATGTTCTAATTGAGATAATTTTAAGGTACTATTTCCTTTAACAGGATATTTTGCTTTCCTTGTTAACAATGACCACAAGATAGTTCTATGAAAACCTCATCAAGCAACATTATAAAATTTCATAAATTTTAGTAGCTGAAAAATATTTCAATTTCTGTTTGTTCCTGTTGTATTTGACTACAGCTGCTTTCATTTTACTGCCTCCCTTTCTTCCACTCATAAAAGCAGATATTCTTCTAGGTATCGCTTTAAATAGTTTTTTCCTTCCACACTTAGAGCTGATTCACTCCCAGGATTCCAACTATCACTTTCATCCAGAAGATTCCCAAATATACATTTATAGTTCAAGCTATCTCAAGTTGACATTTCCAGCTGGCTGTCCTTCCTGCCATATAAAATTCAAACTCAATATGTTCAAAACCATAATTATAATCTTTCTTTACAACTGACTTTATTTTCATTATGTTTGCAAATGATATTCCTATTGTACCAATTGTCTACAGTTTTAATCTCAAAATCAGTTCTGAACTCTTTTTTCACCTATCAGGCCTTGGGCAGTTTTGATCTTATTGTTTCAATATTTTTGTAATGTATCTTCTTTTGCTTAAGTTATTACAAAATCTTCCTCCCAGATTTTCCTTCCTCCAAAATCTCCCTTATTTGACCCATTGCCTAGCAACAATCTTCTTAAAACATAGAACAAAGTCTCTAATATCCGCCAAGGAGATACTAACTATCTAATAGCAAAATACTTCTGGGTATTAAATCCTAAATCTTTTTTTTTTCTTGTATCTACTCTCCTAGATGACTCACCATTTTCTAAAACCACTATGAATTCCTATTTAGTTTCCTAAGCCTCCCATTTTCATCTTTGATGAGATATATAGGGCATCAGTTTTACTTGAAATATCTAAATAAATTCAGTAGTCATCATCCACAGAAGAAGCCCCTTTAGAAGAGATCTCTAGGCATAGAGCTAGAAGAAAGCCCTGAGCACTGCCAGGAGTGGCCCTAAAACTGAAAACCAAACCAGAACAAAAAGTTGACCCAAACAATTTAAACCATATGAATATTCCATTCATTGAACTTCATAGTCCATTCTGTTGAATTTTAGATTATTGGTTAAAGCTACACTAGAACAAATAAATACATAAAATGTATGAAGTTCATATACTTTCATTAAAATTGTTGAACATTTTAGTCCCCTGATTGATTCTAGAAGAGTTCCTCAAATTACTTATAAATTATGGCATATATTTGAGGGAACCCTGGGGTAAGTTTTAATATTTGGTGAGTTCAAGTAGCATGATGAGTATAAGAACATGTATATCTACTATTATTTCTTTTCAAATATTTCCATTTAAATGTCTTCGTTTTGTTCTCACAGTAAAATGGTAAGTTAGGCTTTGTTATTCTACTACTAGAAAAATAAAGGAAAATTCTA